ATCACTAGTTCAGATTCTTGGCTCTGTCCTATCGGCCACCCAGAATTTAGGTTTGGCTAGTTTTCTGTCACTGACTGGAACTCACCACTTGGTTGAAGAGGGGGTAGAGCCTCGGCCGTTCCTAAGATATGGTTAGAACTGCTCAGCCGACAAGAGTACATAAAACTTACCATCCTTCATTTCTTGGTCTTTCATCACAGCTTCTGTTTATCTACATTAAGTAGACAATCCTTGGTGTGGAGTAGGGACAATACCTGGATTTGTTAAAGACATATCAGTCAGAGAGTAGATAGCTTTTCCTGGGATTGCACTGTGTGGTTGGTGATGAAGACGCATTGCTTTTCAACGGTGGGAAAGCATGCCACTGCAGATCGGCCATGGAACATTCTGCGGATCTCGGTTGAACATTGTACGGATCTCGGTTGAAGTAACGCCACCACGTGACCGCGTTTACAACTTCGTAATTTCACATTCACCATTGTCCCATTCCGACGCGCACATTCACCACCCTCGATCATCCCATTCCCACTTACCATGTCCACTGCTGAACTTGCTCAAGCCGCTCAACAGGCCCATACCCTCACTCCCGGGTTCTTGGAGGATGTTAGGGTGGCCACCTCCACGCTTTTGAACTTTTACAACTGTCACAGGGAAGGTCTTCTGGCCCACCAATGGACGGTGGAAGAGGATGCATACGGGAAAGCTGTGAGTGACTAACAATGATTTGTTGACTGAAATTGGATCTCTTTCTCCTACAGGAACGATTTGTATGTTTGCTCATCGACAAGAATATGTGGTATAACGCGGCCCAGTGGCTCAACCACCCTTGGATTTTGGCGTACACGGAAATGGCCTGAGCGGGACCATCGGTTGATTGGACCAAAATGTTCTCGATCCCACAACCCACCACCCCTACCTTCTTTATGGAAGGTTATGCCGGTCCCTCTCCCCCTTTACCTCCATCTTCGACCGATTCATTGCTCCCAGTCACAGTCCCAACTCCCCCATTGCCGGTACCGACAGCTTCATCATCGCTCCCGGCCCCAACAAAACCAACACGTCGGGCAAAATCAACCGATCCTGTGCCAGCGGCTGAAACGAAGACCAAGAGTAAGACAAAGTCTGGGCGAAGGAAACCCGAGGCCGGGTCCAGCGCCCAGCCACAATCAGAGGTGACTCCTAACGACACCGCTGCCCCAGTCCAAAGCAAAAAAAGAAAAGGGGACTCGATCGAAGCCAGGCCAAAGAAGACCAGAGTCGTGAGCGTGGAGTTCATCAACAGCAGCAGTGATGAGGAAACATTGAAGCCGAAGTCGGAGTCACTTCGACTGGTTGGTGGGGAAGCAAAGGCGGTTAAACCCAAGTCCCAGCCCCATTCTCCCGCAT